CACCCCCACACACACCCCACCACACGCACCTTCTAAATAAGCTCTTTCTTTGCTTGCAGTTATCGGCTGCCGTCTTCTGAGTTCTTCCTAATAAAGGTCTCTCTCTGCCACTGTCTTGCCCCCAACCAGCTGGCTCCTGTCACAGCACGAGCGGGTAGGTGGGTCCTGGGCACAGTAACGAGGGTACCCGAGAATGGCCAGTTTTTCAAGAGGGTTAACAATTTTATCAACCTTCTGGAAGAACCAGCTCTGCACTTGTTTTCACTTTCCCTTTTCTTTAGTTTACCCTTTACCCTCACTATCCCCTTTCTTGGTTACTCTGGATTTGGCTCAGTTGGGGCTCAGCAAATGCTCCCCTGAAAACTGTCACTTCCACGTGTGGAGAGGTCTGGGGCCGCCTCCGAATCTAGGCCCCTCCAACCCTCTGCTGCTTCCCCGACCATTGCAAGGAGAGGTTTTCTGGGGCTCTCTGATCCCAACCATTACAGGCCTGCGCCCCACACCCAGCTTTTTCTAACTTCCTTAAGGGAAAGGCTGAGGTCTTTGAGACTTTTTCCTCTTGTAATACACGTCTCACTAAAGACTGCTTTCCTAGCATCCCACAGAGCCTGGTGGATTTTTTGTTTGTTTGTTTGTTTTTTGTCTTTGCACTCAGTCCTGGGGATTAGACCCAAGGCCTGTGCACAGTGCCAGGCAAATGCTGTCCTGCTGAGCCACATCCCCAGTCTGCTTTGGTTTGCTTTGGTGTGGCTTGGCTTGGCTTGATTTGATTTGGTTTGATTTGATTTGGCACAGGGCCTGGGTAATTTCCCCTGCCATCCTAGGACATGCCGTCCTCCTGCCTCAGCCTTCTCAGTAGCTGGGTTTACAGACATGTGTCACAACATCTGGTTGCACTGTTTCATTTTCTTTTTCTGTTTGTTTTGGTGGTTTTGTTGTTTGTTTGTTTGTTTGAGACAGGGTCTTGCTGTTAGTTCATAGTTCAGGCTGGCCTTGAACTTGTGGCAGCACTCCTCCTGCCTCAGCCTCCTATGTCCTGGATCACACCCATGTGCTGCCAGTTCTGTTTCATTTTCATTCAACTTAAAGGACTTTCTAAATTTCCTTCGTTTTCCTTGACTTGTGGGTCATTTTAGAAGTGGGTTGTTTACTTTCCAGATAGCTGGGTTTTCCAGAAACTTTTCTGTTATTGATTTCTAATTTAATTGCATTGTAGCAGAGAACATGTTTGATGTGACTTGCATCCTTTTTTAAGTCACTGAGACTTGTTCTATGGTCCAGGGCATGGACTATCTCATCAAACCTGCAGTGCAGGTC